AGGATAAATAAATGTAGATAGAGAGATGGTATATAGATAGATGATAGATAGATATATAGATAGATAATAGATAGATAGATAGATAGATAGATAGATAGATAGATAGATAGATAAACTTGGCTGCATAGGAAACACTGATTTTGACCCTGATTTATTTCCCAAACCAAAGTCAGAAATAAGAACTTTATGCAACAGTTAGAGGCACACATTAATTGCTCCCTCTGCGAGCGACGATGCCCGATCCTAGAGAGTGGCAATGGAAACCTCTCAATGCATGCAGTGTGAATGAAAGATCACATAGTGGAAGACCAGGACCCTTTTTACCAGTCAGAGCCTGCATTAATTATCTGACAAGTTGTGTCACCTCTGTGGCTTTCATCACATTCTCTCTAAAATCAGGGGCAGGCGTTCAGTGTGTCCTGAATTCCATTCCCGCCTTGAAATATGAGCAATCATGCCCTTTGTCCTCTTTGTGTGTGCACGTCTATGGGGAGACTGAGGCAGGGGAAGGCCAGCCTCAGTCTCCAATGTCTGGGGGGCATACACCTTCTCAAACTTGAAGCAGTGTGCCCAGTGTTAGAATGGCAGCAATAATCTCCTCCATCATGGACATTTAAATATTTTAACTCTTATAAAGACAATATCATATTTGTAGTAACAGTTCATGATTAAAATACATCTTCACGAAAAAAGGTTTGAGTTTTTTTTAAAAAATTATCTTACTGAAGTCACATTGGCTTATAACATTGTGTAAATTACAAGTGTACATTATAATATTTCAGTTTATGTATACACTACATCATGTTCACCCCCAATAGAGTAGTTGTTATCCATCATCATACATATGTTCCCCTTTACCACTTTTGCCCATCCCTACTTTCCCTCTAGTAGTCATCAATCTGTTGCCCTTATCCCTGTGTTTATCTTCCACATATGAGGGAAATGATATGGTATTTGTCTTTCTCTGTCTGACTTATTTCACTTAGCATAATGCCTCAAGTTCCATCCACGTTGTTGCAAATGGGATGATTTTGTCTTTTTCATGGCTGACTGGTATTCCATTGTGTATATATATATATACACACATATACATATATATATATATATATATACCTCACCTTCTTTATCCATTCATCCGTTGATGGGCACTTGGGTTGCTTCCAAGTCTTGGCTATTGTGAATAATGCTGTAGTGAACGTAGGGGTGCATATATCTTTTCCAATTAGTGTTTTCATTTTCTTTGGATAAATACCTAAAAGTAGAATAGCTGGATCATATGGTAGTTCTATTTTTAATTTTGTTGAAAAATTGCGAGTTTCTTAAATCTGTGATTTTTCAGAGGCGGATTGTGAAGCCCAAACTGACTGTGTCCTAGAATGTTGCCTTATTTGAGACAGACAGCATAATGCATTTCTTCTATGTTGGTAATATTATTTTGTCTATGCCTGTATATCTAGTTGCACTAATAATTGTTATAAAATAATAAACTACAATTTATATAGATATATATCTAAGACATTATGAGTCTTTTATGAGAACCATTTTAAGTGTTCATAACTCCATAATTGAAAAGGAGAAGGTGCAAGGTTGATCTCTTGCTGGGGTAAATCTTACAATATTTTATAACAGCATGACAGCTGGTGGTGGTTAATTATACACGTCAACATGGCTAGGCTATGGCGACCAGCTGTATGGTTAAACACCCATCTAGATGTTGCTGTGAAGATATTTTTTAAATGTGATTAACACTTACAATTGGTAGAGGCTGAGTATAGCAGATTATCCTCCATAATGTGGGTGGGTCTCACCCAATCAGTTGAAGGCTTTAAGAGCAAAGACTGAGGTTTCCCAAAGAAAAAAGCAATTCTGCCTCCAGATCATAACACAGAAACCCTGCCTGAGTTTCCAGCCTGCTGTGGTGCCCTGGAATGTTGAACTCAAAATCCCAACGTCAACCCTTACCTGAATTCTCATCCTATGCGTTTCCTTACAGGCTTTGAATTTGAGAGACCCATGATCCCATGAGCCAGTTCCTTAAAGTAAATAGTTATTTCCTACTGGTTCTGTTTCTCTGGAGCATCTTGACTAATACACATATACAATGTCACATACCCGGGAGCGACTATTCGTGACCTTAGAGAGTGTGTATGCACTGGATCTTGGCTAATATGATTCAGGATCTCAGATAACATGGCCTTCTTCATCTGCAAATTTATTTTGTAATCCATTTCCATCTCTCTGAAACTCAACAGCCAAGCGTTTATTCTCACAATGTGCATGGTGCACAACACGTATCTCTAGAGAAAAGTGCATCTCTGGCCCGCTCCTCTACAATCTTAACCTGCAACGCAGGAGAAGCACAAACGTATTGAGTGAGATTTCTGTTAGGAAAGTAGGAGCCCCAGAGGACCAAACCAAGATATATGCGAAACTATTGTTTTCAGTGGAGCCTGTTTTGCTGATTGAAGAAGTGACCATAAACAGGGCGGAAATTTGACTTCCATAGGTGTATCGGTCAGGGTTCTCCAGAGAAACAGAAGCCATAGGATGTGTGGGTATAGATATACATGTAGATACAGATATAGATATAGACGATATAGATATCAATGCAGATGTACATGTAGACATAGTTATAGATATAGTTATAGATATGTATATAGAGAGAGATATAGATATAGTTATGGATACAGATATGAATATAGATGTAGATATAGGTACATATATACATATAGATATAGATGTAGGTATAGATATGGATATAGATATAGATATGGATATGCATATGGACATAGATATAGATACAGATATAGATATAGATGTAGATGTAGGTATGGCTATGGATATGGATATAGAGAGGTATAGATGTGTTATAAGAATTGGCTCATGTGATTATGGAGGCTGAAAAGTCCCAAGATCTGCAGTTGGAAAGCTGTTTAAGTTCCAGTCTGAAGACCAGCAGACCTGAGACTCAAGAAGAGTCAAACTTTCAGTTGGAATCTGAGAGCCAGAAATGACCGATGCCCTAGCTCAAGAGTCAGGCCAGAAGAATTCTCTCTCAGTCAGCCTCTTTGTTCTATCAGGTCTTCAACTGATTGGATGAGGCCCACCCACATTGGGGAGGGCCATCTGCTTTACTCATTCTATTGATTCAAATGCTACTCTCATCCAGAAACGCCCTCACAGACGCAGTCAGAATTATGTTTGACCAAATATCTGGGTACCTCGTTGCCCAGTTAACACATAACATTAAATATCACAATAGGCCCTAAAAACATTTGCCTTCATGAGACTTTTTCTGCGTCAAGAAAACATAGAAGCCTACTCAAGGATTATTAAAAAGAAAGTCTCTAATAGAATGTCCCTCCCTTTGACTTTGCTGTTTACTATTGGATTACATTTCAGATACTGTGAAGTTACATGTTAACTTATAGATTTCTGTCTTATAGAACAGTTAACCCCGAAGTTTATGAGTTTGGTATCTAACCTAGTAATTTTATTCTAACAATCTTCTTTTTTCTAAATGCTTTTCCTGGTGGACTGTATAAATACATGTCTCTTACATGCTCTTGGAACTGGTTTTGCCATTTAAAATGTTCTTCCATTAATTTAGGAATCCAATAAATTCATTCACATGTGTTCTTTCTTTATCTGTATGAGTCAGGTTTTTTGTAGCTTTTTAAAAATTATATTTTGCCATAGGAAATGCAAGAAATGAAAAAACAAATTAAAGATTCTAAGGCCCAAAGATGTAAAGGAGACGGCATTTACATGGGCTTGAAATACGAGGGATCAGATACTGACTTTACTCGGTGAAGAATGTGTAGGAGCTGTTAAATATTTAATAACTCGGAAGTGTCACAAAGTAACGCTTCATGAACATTAACTGTGGTACAAGGCATGGGATGTCTTGACTACTGGAGAGATGGTAGCAGAGAGCTAAGGTAGATGCTAGTGTGGTGAATTTGGATTTAATTAGGGGATGAGGAGGGGAGAAATGTAAATGACTTTATAAGGAAGATTCAACGCAAATTGAGGACTTTTTGATATAGTTGGTGAGTTAGTGTACTAGAGCTGCTGTAACCAAGTACCCCAAACTGGGTGGCTTAAAACAACTGAAATTTATTCTCTCACAGTCTGGAGACCAGAAGTCTGAAATCAAGGTGTTGGCAGGGTTGGTTCCTTCTGGAGGTTCTAGGGGAGAACCTGCTCCATGCTTCTCTCCTGGCTTCTGGTGGCTGCCAGCAATCCTTGGTGTTCCTTGACTTGTAGACGCATCTCTCCAACCTCATTCTCCATGTTCTTTCCTCTGTGTGTGTCTGTGTTCAAATGTCCCCTTCTTATAAGGACATCAGCCACTGGACTAGGGCCCACCCTAATCCAGGATGACCTCATTTTAATGTGATTACATCTGCAATGATCCTATTTCCAAATAAAGCCACATTCATAGATTCTGGATGGAAATGAATTTTGGGGGAGACACTGTTCAGCCCAGTATGGTTGGCAAGTTGTCATTAAATGAAAGGAAGTAAGGTGTTTGATTCCACAACCTTTGTTCACAAAGGTTGGGGAATTATAGAATCTCAATGTAATTCTGTACATTTGTCTGTATCCTGGTTTTTGTCTATAGCTATTTCCTCTCACGCACTCCTATAATCGAGTTCGTCACAAGAGTGATCTACAAATGGTAGGGTCCTAACAGTGTACAGTACTCACAGCTATGCATCTGCATTTGTGAGCATTTGTGTCTGCAGCTCTTCTGTGCTGGGGTTATTAAAAACTTATGGTAAAATCTTGGGCATAGAAGTAATTCCTTCTCTTTCTATGTGAGAAAGAAAGTCTCAGCTCTAATCAGTGGAGACCCTAAGTTACCAGATGTCCCTACTCAGCAAGGCAGACTTTTAAAATGAGATGCCTCTACAGACTCTTAAATTCCAGAAAATTGGAGCAGCTGGGTTTCCCAACTCCAGCTTGTCAATTAGCAGAGGTTGATCCTTGCATTAACCTACAGTTAATGTGGAGAAATTATCGGCTGTTTAAAGCTACAAGCTATAGCTCTGCCAGCCTGTAGCACATGCACAGTTCAAAGTAGAGGACACTTTGGTATAGGAATCTGGTTTGTTCTCTTAATTATAGTTCCCGCAATTCACAGTATAGAAACAAAGTAGATGTAAATATTTAAAGTTAACTAGGTAATATTTTGCTTAATCATGTAATTAAAAGAAAATAGGAGATGAGTAGGTCATAGTATATAAGAGTGTATTTGCTCCTTGAAATTATCAGTGGACATATTTATTCGTGGAATTAATAAGCAAAATTAATTCTTTAAAATTGGAATATAAAACAACATTATGTGTAGATTATTTCACTTTCTATAATTTTTAGTTGCTTAATGAAAAGGAATATTTAAGGCAACAATAAAAGGAAAAATCTATATCTCATAGTAATAAGAGTAATACAGTAATAACCTTACTCAACTTTTATTTAAAAGATAGAAGTTATTTATAAGATTATTTAAATTACCAGACACATTCTCAGTAATTTCAAGTGATTTGTGGCAAAGAGGGTGGGTCTTTTCTTTTTCCAAATTCTAAATTCTCTTGAAACTAAAAAAAAAAAAAATCTCAAAGAATGTGTATAAGAAAATGCTAGATTAAAGAAGAGAGCATACAAAATAATATTTTTTCTTCAAAAGCGATAACTATAAAATGATGCCTGTGCATGTACCAAATTTTAAATTCAGTTTTGTGGAATGACAGAGATCATTTTCCCACTCAAATCCAACGTACATTGAATTATGCTCCTTTAATTTCTGGGGCCATTTTTCTTACAGGTTTGGGCTCTTTCAACCTTCTGAAAATTTAAAATCTCTGCTCACCAGGCTGTAATGAGGGGTTCTCCTAATCCAGACCTTGCTTGAGCCCTGAGCCTCAGTCTTCATCTCATAGCCCAGTTGTGGAAACTGGACCACATCTCCCTTCCTGTCCACGAGTTTTGCCGTTGCTGTCTTGGTTAATGTCCCATCCCTGTTAAGACTGATTCTGAGTTGACTTTGGAATCTGCAGTCTTCAGTTGGCCGAGGCTAGGCTCCACAGTACCTGTGAATGTGACCTTATTTAGAATAGGATCTTCGCTAGGGGTTAGCCACAGCGTGGAATAATACACAGCAGCATGTAAATGTGACTGCAAGAACTCATGGGGTCATAGGCGAGGGCCTATGTGTTCCCACAGCCACTCCAATTCTCAGAAGCCAGCAGCCATGTCTTTCTCGGCTTCACTGGCCTCCAGGTTCCTCAGTACCTGGGGGATGCACTGACCCCTGGAATTTACTGTGTCTCTGTGAGGAAGAAGGAAGCCCTCAGGCAAGTGTCACCGCTCTCTCGGATCCCTCCTGGACCTATTCACAAGGCTTCATTGCTGGTTAGGTATTAAACCAAAGTCAAAGCCATCTTAAACCCAGTCTGGGTGGTCTTCCTCCCCAGTTGTTGAATGCAGTCTGTACGCATTTGCTAGGAATGTCTTAACAAAGTACCACAAACTGAGTGACTCAAACACCAGAAATTTATCATCTCACAGTTCTGGAAGCTGGAAGTCTGAGATCAAGGTGTCCGCAAGGGTGGTTCATCCAGTCTCATCACTCCCCTGAAATACTGAGAAACCTTCCATTGTTCAGTGTCTTCAGCTGACCAACACTTTTTTCTCTTAGAGTTCTGTTTTCCAGAATTAAACTTTAAGTAGTAGAATGTAACTTCAAGGTTTAGTGTTACATTCATATGTTATTACTCTTGTGTATTTTTTTTTCTGGGTATGAAGAGGTTGATTGCATATTCATGATGCGCTTATAATATCCCTTGGTCTTTTGTTTTCTTGTGAATCAGTAGTTGATCTAGAGATCTGATCAAACTAGAGTTTGATGGTTTCAGCAAGAATATTTCCATCAGGAGGTACAAATTATGTACATTTCTTTATTTTTTGACATTAAGAGTCATTGGTCATCATTCATTAGAAGTAACAAAATAGTAGTATTTGTATTGGCCTCATTCTCTTGCATTGATCAACCGGACAGTTTTTGTAAAGAAACAATTTGTTTCATCAACTATTTGGTTAAACTAAGGTAGATTTTATTCAAGAAAGTTAGGAATAATAATTAATTATTTCACTTTGTTTACCAGGTTGCAAATTAGTTTCTTTGTTTGTTTAAAAGAGATTTCACTGTTGACAGATATGTATGAAACCTCTCAGCTGAATACTCTCGCCCTACGTTGCTCATGTTGTTTAATTGTGAATATCTGATCCTCACATTTTTTCACATGATGCATATCTGGGAATATCTATTACTTTAAACTAGACAAGATACTTTCAATAGGTCTCAAAATCTCCCTTAACAGTGGAGAGTAATTAATTGAAAAATTGTGTATAACAGCCCTGAGTCGGACATTGCCAAGTGAAGCAAACAGGCTCTTTCCCCTAATTTTCAGTTCCACATCTTTTGAATATTCTCCACCTCATTCATGATTGATACAGATGGGTGGTTCAGCCCCTCTTTGTCCTCTGAATAGTTTACTTCTGTAGAACATCTCATGTAGTTCTTTACATCTCAACATTTTAGAAGTGTCTGGCAAACTCTTAGCTGTACATTGATTTGCCACTGTCTCTCCACATATTCGGGTCACAAGTAGAATAACCATAGCCCTTCGAGAACAAGAGGAGAAAATATCAGCTGTTATCACCAGCTTTTATATTTTCATGACACTCCCTTAACCCCTGTCACCACACCTTCCATTCATCAACATCTTCATCCACTTTGATCAGGTAATAATCTCTACTCTTCTCCCCAACAGCCTTCTTACCCTGCACATTTTCTCTATTTTTTGTCCAATCTCCATCTGCCATCAGAGCTGTCATGTAAGTTATCAGCTCTCTATATCCTGAAAACTGAGGTAGGAAATTTGGACTTTATCCTGAGGGTCATGGGCTACCATTCAAGACTTTTAATCAGAAAATGATAGGAAGAAGCTTTGGCTTTACAAAGTTAATTCTGGCTGCAGGATGGAGAAAAATTTGAAGATGAGTAGAGAGGCAGAGAAATCTGTTAGGAGCCTATTAATTAAAAATCTAAGAAAAAAATGGAAATCTCTGAAAAACATGAGTAGACTGCAAGGTGATTACAGAGATGTCA